AAACATGTAATAGAGATATGGTTTGAATAGTAATCAGTTGTATAATCAGAGTTTTATCTTAAAACCAATCTTACATCGAACTCCAAACAGTGCAATAACGTTTTGTTTTCGTTTTATTTTTATTTTGTTTTGTTCTTTGTGTGTGAGTTTTTATTTGATTGTTTGTTGTTTAGCGCCTCGCTAGTAATATTCGAGCACTAACATGGTGGTCTGTAACAATGGAGCTCTGGACCAGACAATCCGGTAATTGACATCATGATCATTGATCTATGCAATTGGGATACGATGACATGTGAACCGAGTCAGCGAACCAGACCATCTCGATACCGTAAGTAGCCACTTACGACAAGCATGGTTTGCTTGAAGACCAGTTCTAATCCGGATTTTCACAGGTATGTAATAACTAGTAAGAGGGAATATTTTGGAATGATCAAAAGTATTTCATCAACTGTTACATAGTAATTGCATCTGGCATTGCCTGTGTGTGTGCTGCTTTCACACTGCACTCAGTATAACGTCAGCTTGGTAATATTCAAATCCTGATCAGACAAACTAGTGGTGGATACAATGAACAACAACGCCAGTACGTCGACAAGCCATCAGCCAAGTCACCGAACCCCATACAACGACCAGCAACTAATGTTCCCAGTGTTTGTCGGTATGTTGCTTTTGTTATATTTGGTGTTAGACGACTTTAATTCTTGTGACATAAATTTACTTTGAAATGACTACTGTCCTCAAGAAATATTAAATCCAAGAGTTTCAAACAAATGACATATTTTGTAATATTAGAAGGAATGTATAGTCTTCACGTTACCTTGAGGAACATGCACATCAACTGAAAATATAAGTGCCACAAAAAGATGAGATCAACATCATAGAAAGTACACATAATGCATATATAAACGTTTTAATGGAACAAAACCTATGTTAAGTGAAGTTGATAAAGGGAGTCGATAACTCGGGCAAAGGAATACTAGTCGTGAAATATGTCCCTCAACATGTCATGGTCTATACCCACGGTCTTTCAAGACAATGTTGCTATAGTTACCGTCGCTTGGTTGAGTAGCCGCTATTTTTAACCAACCAATAAAGTCACAGCCTGGTTTCAGCCAGAGCGAAACCGACGGGTGCTAGGACCAAATAGGGCATACGTAACTCTGCACTATTGTGCATTTCTTTCTTTCTTTTTCTTTTCATTTTTGTAATTAATATTTTATTTCTGAGTCCCTGTTACATACAAAACCAGATACCCAGGGCAGTGCTTGGTTCACATCAGATATGAAACATGGGCAACATTAGAAGATACAAGCAAGATTATATAGGAGTATAAAGCAAAAATATTGTTATCTATCTATCTATATTTATCTGTTAGTGAGGTTCATATTAAATGTATGACATTATGGGCTAAGATATGTTTGAAATTTAACGCTGACACAGACACTCATTCACACTCAGCTTCACTCACATTCAGCACTAAACTATAACAAGTTGTACCAAAGCCACATCAGAACATACATTTAAGCAATCTAGAATTGCACTCATTAAATCAAGACCACCTGGCAGTAGATATCGACATATGTACATCAGCTAGTTCATGGTACAATCCACTAAGTACATAACTTCGCTTGTTGGCCTTTGCTATAAGCAATATTTCTTTCATTGATATGCCTGTTGGGATATAATGTTTAAAGTGTTTCATATCTAAAGTTGTTTTCACAACTTTTATACATTTATAGATAATGAATTTATCTGAAAGCAAAGGTCAAACTAAAGTAGGTCAAACACATCAGTATATATATTTCAGTATATATATATCAGATCAAACAGAATAAGCTGAAGGTCAAATTTCAAATTATGGATTTGTGGGCGCTTATCATAGTAAAGGTACTTGATTGTAATCAGTGTTATTGATTCAACTTTACATTGAAACAAAACCCAAGAATTACACTCAGTTGTTGATTTTATATAAACATGAGTTAGTTGATAGTTACTGAAACCATCTCAACTCGGTATCTAAAGTAGTCTTATATAAAAATATATTTTCCCACTTTCAGCAGAGAGAACACATTCCTCACACTTCAGATTACATTTTAGAAGAGTATCACATGCATTCAAGATAAAATATTAACACTTCTTAACTCCAACACCTTTCCTAACTGATAGCAGTTTCCTGACAACAGGATTATCATCCAGTTGGACAAAAGATGTGGGTTGACATATGTTCAACTCATCCTGGTATTTTCTTTATAGCCTGGGTTAACCCTCGATAAAGAAGGAAGTTGGTATTGTTGAAAAGTGCATTGGATTTGTTCAAGAGTTAGTTAGTTTCCTTCAGGATTTATCTCGTACTTGGCTGATACCTCTATCAAACCATTTAGAATAAAAGATAATCTCTTTACCAATGGTGATATCTTTGTTGTAAAGTCATCAAATGACCCAGGCGGTATATTCTTTGAGAACTTATCAAACGCAAAGACAGTATCCAACCCAAAACATTATTGATTTTATAATGCTTTAGCTCGAAAAGTACTGCCTTCCATTTTGATTCAGTTTTCATACAAGATAGCTTCAATTAACTAACATAGGACAAGACTTGAACCATACCAAGACCACTCTCTTTCATATGTTTACACGTATCTGGTTTCCCACTCCAATGAAATGTAATTAACATTTTATTCAACTCCTTCAGGAAATAACCAGGAGGGTTAGGTAGTGCTAGAAATAGTAAGTTTAATTTTGAAAGGAATAAAGCCTTGATAACAGCAATTCTACCGAGGAGAGTAGTGATTCTTTTCATTCATCTTTTATTATTAAATGAATTTTAAAAATTATATCTGTTGAAAAAAACAACTCCTAGTAACCATTCTGGATTCCACTCAATATTTGTCAACCTTGCTCTATTATTCTTCCTGGAACCTTTCAATATTACTTGAGATTTGTCATTATTGATTTTAAGCCTGCCATGTCAGCAGACATGTCTATTGTGTCAACTGTAGCTTCAAAAGATTCTCGAGAATCTCCTAATATAAACGCTATACATCTGCATTTTGTGATAACAGGTATTCTTCCTCTCTTACTCTACGTGCTGTGATAATCACATTTTCCTGACAAATCCTGCATTGTCCATTTCTTGTGCCACAGCCTACTTATTGCTTCCCTTTCAGGCAATCGTAGGGATCGCACATTTCATGCGATTTACTTATATTTTTTTTATTTACTTCCTTGAGGCATGCACGCAAATCGTAGATACGCTTCATATTTCACAAGCCCAATGTATTCACGGGTGACTGATTTACGTGGTAAACACAATGAACCACTGAGTGTATTGCATCGTACCTGTACATTCCTCTATACTCAAGGAAGACCTCCCGGGTGTGGACTTGCCCTTGGGACATGCATGACAAGATGTCGCCGCCGTGATGTTGCTGTAGCGGCCAATGTCACATCGTTCACAGTAGCCATTGATATAGAAGGTTCCAGGACCACAAGGAACTAAATAACAAACGTTGAATTGTGTCTTGAGATCCCTTCGAATTTATTATCTACTCAGTTCTTAAACATTTCATGAACGTGACAGGATATATGTAAATACTGTCAATACAGATTAAAAAAATAACTTTACATTTCATTAATCAGATTTCCGTTTCAAATAATTCGGTTACCTGAGTAAGCGGCCAATAGTTTAAAATATCACATTTTATTAATCACATTTCCATTTAAAATATTTCTGAATAAATCAAATTCGGTTACCTGAGTAAGCGGCCAATAGTTTTAAATATCACATTTTATTAATCACATTTCCATTTAAAATATTTCTGAATAAATTAAATTCGGTTATCTGAATAAGCGGCCAATAGTTTTAAATATCACATTTTATTAATCACATTTCCATTTAAGATATTACTGAATAAATCAAATTCGGTTATCTGAATAAGCGGCCAATAGTTTTAAATATCACATTTTATTAAGCACATTTCCATTTAAAAGATTTCTGAATAAATCAAATTCGGTTACCTGAGAAAGCGGCCAATAGTTTTAAATATCACATTTTATTAATCACATTTCCATTTAAAATATTTCTGAATAAATTAAATTCGGTTATCTGAATAAGCGGCCAATAGTTTTAAATATCACATTTTATTAATCACATTTCCATTTAAAATATTTCTGAATAAATCAAATTCGGTCATCTGAATAAGCGACCAATAGTTTTAAATATCACATTTTATTAATCACATTTCCATTAAAAATATTTCTGAATAAATCAAATTCGGTTATCTGAATTAGCGGCCAATAGTTTTAAATATCACATTTTATTAATCACATTTCCATTAAAAATATTTCTGAATAAATCAAATTCGGTTATCTGAGTAAGCGGCCAATAGTTCTTAATATCACATTTTATTAATCACATTTCCATTTAAAATATTTCTGAATAAATCAAATTCGGTTATCTGAGTAAACGGCCAATAGTTTTAAATATCACATTTTATTAATCACATTTGCATTTAAAATATTTCTGAATAAATCAAATTCGGTTATCTGAATAAGCGGCCAATAGTTTTAAATATCACATTTTATTAAGCACATTTCCATTAAAAATATTTCTGAATAAATCAAATTCGGTTATCTGAGTACGCGGCAAATAGTTTTAAATATCACATTTTATTAATCACATTTCCATTTAAAAGATTTCTGAATAAATCAAATTCGGTTATCTGAATAAGCGGCCAATAGTTTTTAATCTCACATTTTATTAAGCACATTTCCATTTAAAATATTTCTGAATAAATCAAATTCGGTTATCTGAATAAGCGGCCAATAGTTTTAAATATCACATTTTATTAAGCACATTTCCATTTAAAATATTTCTGAATAAATCAAATTCGGTTATGTGAGTACGCAGCCAATAGTTTTAAATATCACATTTTATTAATCACATTTCCATTTAAAAGATTTCTGAATAAATCAAATTCGGTTATCTGAATTAGAGGCCAATAGTTTTAAATATCACATTTTATTAATCACATTTCCATTAAAAATATTTCTGAATAAATCAAATTCGGTTATCTGAATAAGCGGCCAATAGTTTTAAATATCACATTTTATTAAGCACATTTCCATTAAAAATATTTCTGAATAAATCAAATTCGGTTATCTGAGTACGCGGCAAATAGTTTTAAATATCACATTTTATTAATCACATTTCCATTTAAAAGATTTCTGAATAAATCAAATTCGGTTATCTGAATAAGCGGCCAATAGTTTTTAATCTCACATTTTATTAAGCACATTTCCATTTAAAATATTTCTGAATAAATCAAATTCGGTTATCTGAATAAGCGGCCAATAGTTTTAAATATCACATTTTATTACACATTTCCATTTAAAATATTTCTGAATAAATCAAATTCGGTTATGTGAGTACGCAGCCAATAGTTTTAAATATCACATTTTATTAAGCACATTTCCATTTAAAAGATTTCTGAATAAATCAAATTCGGTTATCTGAATTAGAGGCCAATAGTTTTAAATATCACATTTTATTAATCACATTTCCATTAAAAATATTTCTGAATAAATCAAATTCGGTTATCTGAATAAGCGGCCAATAGTTTTAAATATCACATTTTATTAATCACATTTCCATTTAAAATATTTCTGAATAAATCAAATTCGGTTATCTGAATTAGCGGCCAATAGTTTTAAATATCACATTTTATTAATCACATTTCCATTAAAAATATTTCTGAATAAATCAAATTCGGTTATCTGAATAAGCGGCCAATAGTTTTAAATATCACATTTTATTAATCACATTTCCATTAAAAATATTTCTGAATAAATCAAATTCGGTTATCTGAGTAAGCGGCCAATAGTTTTAAATATCACATTTTATTAAGCACATTTCCATTTAAAATATTTCTGAATAAATCAAATTCGGTTATGTGAGTACACGGCCAATAGTTTTAAATATCACATTTTATTAATCACATTTGCATTTAAAATATTTCTGAATAAATCAAATTCGGTTATCTGAATAAGCGGCCAATAGTTTTAAATATCACATTTTATTAAGCACATTTCCATTAAAAATATTTCTGAATAAATCAAATTCGGTTATCTGAGTACGCGGCAAATAGTTTTAAATATCACATTTTATTAATCACATTTCCATTTAAAAGATTTCTGAATAAATCAAATTCGGTTATCTGAATAAGCGGCCAATAGTTTTAATCTCACATTTTATCAAGCACATTTCCATTTAAAATATTTCTGAATAAATCAAATTCGGTTATCTGAATAAGCGGCCAATAGTTTTAAATATCACATTTTATTAAGCACATTTCCATTTAAAATATTTCTGAATAAATCAAATTCGGTTATGTGAGTACGCGGCCAATAGTTTTAAATATCACATTTTATTAATCACATTTCCATTTAAAAGATTTCTGAATAAATCAAATTCGGTTATCTGAATTAGCGGCCAATAGTTTTAAATATCACATTTTATTAATCACATTTCCATTAAAAATATTTCTGAATAAATCAAATTCGGTTATCTGAGTAGCGCGGCCAATAGTTTTAATATCACATTTTATTAAGCACATTTCCATTTAAAAGATTTCTGAATAAATCAAATTCGGTTATCTGAGTAAGCGGCCAATAGTTTTAAATATCACATTTTATTAATCACATTTCCATTTAAAATATTTCTGAATAAATCAAATTCGGTCATCTGAATAAGCGACCAATAGTTTTAAATATCACATTTTATTAATCACATTTCCATTAAAAATATTTCTGAATAAATCAAATTCGGTTATCTGAATTAGCGGCCAATAGTTTTAAATATCACATTTTATTAATCACATTTCCATTAAAAATATTTCTGAATAAATCAAATTCGGTTATCTGAGTAAGCGGCCAATAGTTCTTAGTATCACATTTTATTAATCACATTTCCATTTAAAATATTTCTGAATAAATCAAATTCGGTTATCTGAGTAAACGGCCAATAGTTTTAAATATCACATTTTATTAATCACATTTGCATTTAAAATATTTCTGAATAAATCAAATTCGGTTATCTGAATAAGCGGCCAATAGTTTTAAATATCACATTTTATTAAGCACATTTCCATTAAAAATATTTCTGAATAAATCAAATTCGGTTATCTGAGTACGCGGCAAATAGTTTTAAATATCACATTTTATTAATCACATTTCCATTTAAAATATTTCTGAATAAATCAAATTCGGTTATCTGAATAAGCGGCCAATAGTTTTTAATCTCACATTTTATTAAGCACATTTCCATTTAAAATATTTCTGAATAAATCAAATTCGGTTATCTGAATAAGCGGCCAATAGTTTTAAATATCACATTTTATTAAGCACATTTCCATTTAAAATATTTCTGAATAAATCAAATTCGGTTATGTGAGTACGCAGCCAATAGTTTTAAATATCACATTTTATTAATCACATTTCCATTTAAAAGATTTCTGAATAAATCAAATTCGGTTATCTGAATTAGAGGCCAATAGTTTTAAATATCACATTTTATTAATCACATTTCCATTAAAAATATTTCTGAATAAATCAAATTCGGTTATCTGAATAAGCGGCCAATAGTTTTAAATATCACATTTTATTAAGCACATTTCCATTAAAAATATTTCTGAATAAATCAAATTCGGTTATCTGAGTACGCGGCAAATAGTTTTAAATATCACATTTTATTAATCACATTTCCATTTAAAAGATTTCTGAATAAATCAAATTCGGTTATCTGAATAAGCGGCCAATAGTTTTTAATCTCACATTTTATTAAGCACATTTCCATTTAAAATATTTCTGAATAAATCAAATTCGGTTATCTGAATAAGCGGCCAATAGTTTTAAATATCACATTTTATTAAGCACATTTCCATTTAAAATATTTCTGAATAAATCAAATTCGGTTATGTGAGTACGCAGCCAATAGTTTTAAATATCACATTTTATTAATCACATTTCCATTTAAAAGATTTCTGAATAAATCAAATTCGGTTATCTGAATTAGAGGCCAATAGTTTTAAATATCACATTTTATTAATCACATTTCCATTAAAAATATTTCTGAATAAATCAAATTCGGTTATCTGAATAAGCGGCCAATAGTTTTAAATATCACATTTTATTAATCACATTTCCATTTAAAATATTTCTGAATAAATCAAATTCGGTTATCTGAATTAGCGGCCAATAGTTTTAAATATCACATTTTATTAATCACATTTCCATTAAAAATATTTCTGAATAAATCAAATTCGGTTATCTGAATAAGCGGCCAATAGTTTTAAATATCACATTTTATTAATCACATTTCCATTAAAAATATTTCTGAATAAATCAAATTCGGTTATCTGAGTAAGCGGCCAATAGTTTTAAATATCACATTTTATTAAGCACATTTCCATTTAAAATATTTCTGAATAAATCAAATT